AACGCTGTTGTGCAGCGGGGACCACGTACAGGAGATGATTGTGTGTGAAGTGCTTTCTAAAACAAATAAGAGAATGGACCTAGCAAGGGGTCACTATCCCGAATCAGTGACAGTTTCAAGTGGTTAGAGAGGATTTGGATAGCCAGACAGGGATTTACGTTGCCCGAGGTGGATTGGCCATGATAAGCGGCATCCCGTATGAGCTGACGATGGATCTGGTATGGATAACGTATGGGAAGGCAGGATCCACCAAGGAGAGACTCGGATCCACCCTCACCCGAGTTCACTTAGGGGGATATGGGATATACCATGTACAGGTGGATCGAGTGGGGATTCTATGAAGGAAGGATGGTAGGTTTTATCTGAAGGTGGATCTGACATCAACAACCAACGAGAAGGCAAGATCCACCACGATATGTCCCAGATCCCGTACTTCCGAGCCCAGATCCAAGGAGGTGAGGATCCCACACGGAGTGACCTGGATCCAGAATATGGGGATGGTTGATGCACTGGAACTCGAACTTTCGTGGAGTGATGAAGACCACAACCTGTCGTAAGACAATGTTGGGAGATTGGAGGGCTCGGATCCGTGACGGGTGTACACTTGCAGTGAGGTGGCCCGGATCCAGACAAGTGTACCCATAATGTGACGACCATAATGATTACGCCATGGATCCGGTGGGTCTGATGATAATACAGCTGGGATGATGGGTCGAGGAGAGAAAGGACATGCAGCCAAGTCAGGTAAGGGATTTAGCAGGTAAAAGACATAGAAGGTAGAAATCCAGACAGGTATAGGCTTAAGTATCAATACAGTCCTCAATTTGCACAGTATCCCGCAAGTGCCTTCCTGCCCTCAAGAATCGGAACTACATTGGCCGTACGAGCTCAGAGGAAGTTGGGAATTGCGAATCTAGTGCTGGTAGCGATAGCTGGATAATACATTGGCCAGATCCTACAGCCTAGTGAGCTTTCCTTTACACGTGCAGATCCGACAGGTTAACCGGATTTACTACTTGGCCGGCAACACCCTAGAGATTCTCAACTCTCAAGATCCCGTCACAGGAGACGGCAAGTACGACGAAAAAGCAACGCAAGGGCAAGGGAACACACCCGTAAGACAACCCTAAGACCAGATCCACGATCTAGGCCCTGGATCCAATATCCGCTTAGGATCCAGAACCAACCACGGACGCAGAGTGAAGATTTTACCACTGCTGTTCCTCCCCATCCTCACCTCTCGCCAAGACACTCAAGCTTCACCACTTGAACTCTACGGAAGTCACCGAGAGAGCAAGATCCCGCCCTACCGACGGGTACACAAGGTGAGGAAAGTTCAGCAGAACACGGATCATCGGGGGACACCCTCCGTTAGTCGGTGTCTGGGCGCTGTTGGTAAGTTGGATCCAGCAATATCGCGGATTTTGCTGATCCCGCTCCGCTACACATACCATACCTCCGACATCCAATCTTGCAGAACGCGTGTTCAGCGTGGCTCAGGCGACCTATGGTATTGACAGGCATTCCTTGCTACCCATTTCATTGGAAATGATATTGCTTCTTAGGGTCAACGAGAGCTACTTGGATGCTGAAACAGCTCACCAGTGCATCGATTAGAATGTGTTAATGCGCCCATTAATTGCATTAATGGCCATAATGTATGTATCCCTAATCTCTTGCATCATGCGAACGGCGTCCCGCTTTTCGCGGATAGTGTTGCTTCGCTGCTTCTTTTTCTTCTTTGGGGGAGTGTCGTCCATTTTGCAGAATGAAAAATGAGCAAGCCATACAAAAAATTAGGTAACGAGCTGATCTGTTTTACCGCAACCATTCATTTTTATCGATAAGATGATTAAATATTTTTTGTTGTTTTTTAATTTGATTAGATAATAATTGCCACTTTTTACTATGGGCGGCTATGAAATGCCGGCTTTGGCGCTGCTGTCGTTTTCTGTAAATACACGCTATGAATAGTTTGACTTTGGGGCATGGTACGTGTTGCTCGCCGGTATTCTCTCCGCGGACTACTCGTTTCACCGCGAGATCACCCCCCCCCCCTTCTCACGTACACAGAAAATACACTGTTTGCTATCCTATCAAGTGATAGCAGCCATTTCTTTCACTTCATTTGACTTCACGTACTTGAGAAATTTTGCTGCTGACAAATTGTATACAGTTTGTACTCACTATACATGGGCCGGTTACGCAAATCGGAAAATGTGTGCAGATGCTCTCTTTGTCAAAACCGAAAGCCTAGCCCTAAAAGAAGTTATCAAATAACTTACTGTACTTTTGTCAATTACTTAGTGAAGCTGACGTCCAGAAAACTAAATTCATTTTACACATGTAGCAAATTGTTGGGGTAAAAGATGCTCCTTTAATTCAACGATGTCAAACTTTATAAACGTTATCAATCCAGCTCATCAATACAGATCGCTCGTGGGTTGTCCTTGGTCCGAGAGGAGCCAAGCAACTCTGCCTCCGACTCGGTGGCGGGCACTCGAATCCGCACATACTCCTGTCGATCCTCGTCGAACACGACAGCCCAGTTACCAGAGCGCTCGGTCGGCAGACACTCCGTCCACGGTCCAGACTCTACCGACTCTTCTTCGAAGAATTTATCCTTCTCCCCGTAGTTCTCGGCCGTGGGGCTGTCAGAGTAATCGTAATGTTTATCGTGTATGGGCGACTCCTTCCGCCCAGCGGAAGTCGCCGAGCTGCTCGAGTTCTCGCCACTGTAATGTCGACGACGTGAGCTCTGACTCGAGTTAGTGTGCTGACCAGACCCTGATCTCCGACGTTCGCGACGACGTGACCGACTGCTCGAGCTCTCGAGATACTGCGAGATCTCCAGCAATTCCTCTTGGTTCCACGCGATCATATCTTCCTTCCTCGCGATGCTGTCGTGGCACTGACGCGTGAATTCCGCCAATTTGCCAAGGCGTATAGACGCGTCGATCCCTGAGCTGGATGCTGACCACTCCGTCTTAGACTGGTCACCTGAACGAGAAGAACCTAAACGCGACCCATTCAACACTTCATGCACCCCCTCGAGGCCTGCACTGCTCTTTGCTCCGCTCCTACATGTAAGAGTGACTTTGTCCACACACAATTTACAAAAATACTCTGTCGCAGGTTTTCCCGAACGCAACTGCAAGCGGAAAACATGGCGACGTTTACGACATTTCCGACAAACTTGTTGCCGGCAACCCATGCAAATTTTGTGCGAAAACCCCATCATCTTTGGCGGCGGAGACATACACACTGCACAGTGTGGAGCCCCCTTTTCTGGGCTCTTCTCCGTGCTATTGGCCATCAACGCCGAGAAGTGCTTGGCCCGTGCACTGCGCAGGAAGTTCCCAGCACTGAGCACCCTCTCTGCTGCAATAAAACTCGAGATACTGACTGGTATCACCGTGTCGAAGTTCAAGTCTCCCAGCATGAAAACACCAAGCCAATCCGGACTCAGCTGGCGATACAGATAGCACCACGATACATCCACACGTTGCAGGCCTCGTTCTCGGTTCGCCGGGCGTTCTGGCAGGTCAATTGACTGTAGAACGTGGTAGGCAAAGTACTGTCCGTTGCGGTCTCTAATGCGTCCCATACGCTCATATGTGAGCATATCCTTGTCACTCAGCAATCCACTGGTTCCAGCCAGGCCCCGCATAACAAACCACTTGATACCGGCAAACACAATGGACGCGCGGAGGTCGCGTGCCTCAAAGACTCGTAGTACGGCCCCGTCTACAAATTTGTCGCTCAGCAGACTCTTGCAGATGCGGAGACTCTCAGTCGAGTCGCAATACACGCCGTTTAGTGCGTCATCCAGTGTACCGGGCACAATCCCGCTACCCAGTAACACGCGTGGACCATCGGGACCATGTATGGAGCGCGGGCGATAGACATTCATGGCGTGGCGGCGACGAACGCGCTGCCAGTCCCCTAGACTCAGGGACGCGTGGAATTTGTCATGCGTGCTCAGCGCGCGGTCAATGAGGTCGTCGCATTGGTGATCGAGCTGCGCACGGCGCGAGGCGCTAAACTGGATTGGTGGCAAGCTCGTCGCCATGGGGCGTGGAATCGTCGAGAGCGAAAGTGTGAGTGTGCAACTGGCAACACTGACAGTTGACACGCTGTTTGGAGAGACCTCTGATCGAGTGGTGTTCGAGGGAGCAGCTCACTTGATTAAAGTAAGCAACAGCCACTGCGGGAGGCTCGGGACATCTGTTTCTCGGGTAATCCTTGGGTCATCATCGACGGCCAGAGCCTGATTTGATGTTCAAGGTGAAAGGTGTTGCTGTTGCCAACACCGTTGTGCCACTGGAAATTTGTCAACCAAGAAACTAAGCTTCGAAAGTTGCACTCGCAAGACCAAGGAGATCATCGTATTCGACGGCACCAAGAGAGCAGCAATCGTTTCGACTCGATACTATCGAGCACATGGCGTGGATAGTACGGAGGGCGCCATCAACGGAGAGTCCCAGGTCTCAGTGAGATTTTAACAAGGTCACTGATTGACCTCAGAGTCTGAGTCAGACTGGAAGTTGCAGTCCATTCCATTGTAGCCTTACATGTAGCGACACGAGCCGGACAAGCATATGCACTTATAATACCTTGAGGCTTCAAGTGACACATGTAGCAAGAACAAACAAATAACTTCGTAGTACATCGGTGATGGCAACATTGCGTGTGGAAGATTTGGTCATGGGCTTTCAGTTTACGCAAGAATTAGTTCCATTTAGGACCATGGTAAAATATTTACGTTCCTAAATTTAGAATGGGGAGGCGGCCCTAAAAAAGAGGAGTAAGCTGAAGTTGTCTTCAACTTCAAGATCATCCGTACATAACCGAATCGATCAAATACTGCAGTCAATAGATCATTCTTATTATATAGGTTGATTCGAGTATTCACTGGTATTTTCAGCAAGTAGCATAACCATTTGTAGCCAACGCCGTTGATGCATTGTCTTCGAGCTCCTGTCGAACTTAAAACTCGGACCACAAGAAAAAGGCTCTAGGATTGCGCAATCTGCGACTGGCGCATTGTAGGTAGACCTATGTTTTTATGTTTTAAAAAGACTGGCAGCTTACAAGCATAACTTTACGTATCACGGCACTACTTTGAGCCAAAACAAACGCAAAAGTACACCTGATGGATGAGCTTTGTGATTTTATTTTTCAACAACAATCATTCACGAGAAGCCAAATCCCAGATCTGATTCTAGAAAAATCTTTTTGTTTTATCCAATGATCGGTCGTCGCGTGTTAATTTTGGCGTTGACTTTTGTCCAATTGGGGCATGCTTTTCTCAGAACGCGAGGGCTAACTCGGATGTAGTAAGGCAAACTGAACCCTGTCCGATCTAGATGCGGCTAGGGCTGCCTTACAAACTCGAAGTAGTTAAGTTTTGGGCTGAACGTGGAAAGGTCGCTCGAGGGAGAGAGGGGGGCCGAGAAGGAAGAGAAACCGGAGGAGCATTCATCGTTTCTCTGGGTGGGCAACAAGTGAGCGAGGCGACAGCGGAGCAGGTCGAGCGCTTGCGTCAGAGCTAGCGATACACAGAAGGAGGCCAACCCCCCTCTTCCCTTGAATTTTCTTCTACAACTACAGATCGACATCATGCAGCAGGAGCGTGAGAGCGCGGAGTTGTGCCTGAACGGCTGTGGTTTCTTTGGCGCGCCAGGCAGTGGCGGCATGTGCAGCGTATGCTGGAAGAAGACCATGTCAGACCGCCAGGCTGCTTCTGTTGCGTCTCCTCGCGCGGCCGAGCAGAAAGTAATCGAGGCGGCACCGCTGGAAACGCTGACGGCTGCCATTGCCGAACCTGCGGACAACAATAGCGCGGTGCTTATCGAGGAGACGGCCGAGAAGCCGGCGGAGAAGCTAGAACAGAAGAACAAGAAGCGCTGCTGGGAGTGCAAGAAGAAGGTTGGACTCACGGCGATCGAGTGCCGCTGCGGCTATGTGTTCTGCACCAGCCACCGGTTCGAGGACCAGCACAGCTGCAGCTTTGATTTTAAGTCGGCAGACCGCGCTGAGCTGGCTCGCCGTAACCCTGGCGGTGGCGAGTTCAGCAAGCTGGAGAAGCTGTAAGCTGGGCCACCTGGAACAGCTATGAGACACCGCGCGGACGAGCAGCGGATCGGCGACGACGGCTCGCGATCAGTCAAGTGCTGACTTCGGGGGCAGGTACCAAACGCGGCTGAAGACGAAGGACGAAGGAGAACGCGCCGGGACGGCAGTGAGCGGCGGTAGCGCGTTGGTGGATGTAATATTAGGACGAAGGCTGAGAATCAGCCAGCGAGCAGAGCGCCGTGGCCACAGAGACTCCCAGAAAACCGCTTAGCTTTTCGCCATCCGTGCTTTCCAATTCCATGCTTGTTTTAGGAGAATATACTTGATTTTCTTATTCTAATTGACTTTTACAAAGAGTTTTCAAAAGCGAATTGGTTGTTAGGTCGCACAACAACTGGATTTTTTTTTGTCAAACGTCGCAGACAGGATGTTTTACAAGTTTTGCACAAATACTACATGTACATGTACATAGTAGTACTATTAGTACTGCACAGCTTTAGACATTTGCTACATGATGCAGGACTTCAAGGTGTCAGTAAAAGAAGTTTGGCTCAAACTTTGAAACAGTATTCCTCATCAAAATGGCATTTGAAGCCGCCATTATAGCCACAACTTGTCGTAAAGTGCATCACACATGTCATTTTTGCTTAATTAAGGCTCTACAAAGATTCAGCTGGGATGGCCTGGTAATTAGTGGGTGGCGCTTCCGGTCGGTGTCGCGCAGCTCACGGAGCTTACGCGAATAGCGTTCTAGTTCAAAGAAGCACCAGCGCTTGATCGCGTCTGAAAGTGATCGGTAGAACGCCGGCGGCAGCATGAGCAATGGGCTCGTCGCGCGCTTATACTCGATGTAGTCCGGATCTAGCCCGAAGCGCTCGTCGTAGCGATCCTCGGCAAGCGGCACCCCCGACAGGAACATGAGCACCAGGAATGTGAACACGGGGCTGATACAGCTGACGTAGTAGAACCACGTCTTGCCTCCATTGCTACCGAAGTTCGCGCTGGCAACAATGGTCACTCCCACCCAGCAGAGTATTTCGCCAAAGTAGTTAGGGTGGCGTGAGTACTTCCACACGCCCGACTGTAGCAGTTTGCCTTTGTTCTTGGGATCATCGTGGAAGGCTGACTTGGAGGCATCAGCGGCGACCTCTATCACAATTCCTATCGCCCAGAGAACACAGCCAACAATGTCCGGTGCCTTGCCGAAGCTGCCGTTGACCTGGTCACCGCACGAATTTGCCAGCACCACCGGAAGCGAGACCATAAAGACCCATAAGATCTGGAAGATCCAGAAGCCAAAGAACGCCATGCAGTTGGCACGCATCTCATCGAATCGCTCGTCCTTGCCGCGTTTAAGTACGCGGATCAGCAGGAAGGAGCCCAAACGTAGGGCCCACACCACTTGAAGGCATGTCACTACGATGGCGCGGGTGTCGTACGCGTCTTGTAGCGCGAGCGACAATACTGCTAGCACGATGAAATTGAGTGCGCCCGCCAGGTCCGTCACCTTGTCAAACTGACACGTGTAGGCGATAGCAAAGAAGCTGCACTGCATAATAACTGTCACGCCGAAGCAGATGAGCAGCATGATGCCGCCGGAGACCAAAGGTTCGTCCATTGATCGTTGTCGGGTAAGGAAAGTTGAATAATGGAATCCAACAATGGATGTTGCGAGTCGCAACATCCTTCGCAGGTCGTCCTTTCTTTTTGGAACACTATCGAAGCTGCAAGAAAAGGGTAATAAGGAATGTTGGTCGCGGACGAAAACTGTACAGTAATTAGATCTTGCTACGTGACATTTATTGTTCTCGAGTATGATACTATCATACCGGTACTTGAAGGAACGTGCCTTGCCAACGTTCTGCAATCGGCCATTATTTCCCCACGTGAAATCCAACGGACGACATCCGCAGTGATCATTGCTTCTCTCACTCTTTAACGAGAATATAGACGGCGTGGATGATACCGGGAATATATCTGCAGCAAGAAGAGCAAGCACACTTTTAGACTATGCACAGCATGATAAAAAAAAAGAAACAAATGACACACTACGACCTGGGCTACTTACCCCAGCAGCGTGAGCAGGCAGTTGATGGCAAAATCCTTGTTGCAGCCCACTTGGAAAAACACGCCGAGCGGCGGCAGCAGAATCGAGCAGAGCAAGCGCGGACAGTCTCCCCAGGTGATCGCCATGGCTTAGATAACTTATACACGTGGTTGGGTGGTGGAAAGCCAATTACACAGTGACAAACGATGTCCAACGACCGCATCGGACAGTTAGTGATGTAAAGTTCCATCCGGGACACGACGCAAGAAGATAAGGAGCCTTTCGTAGCAACATTTTAGCAAGTGCTAATCTGCTTCAACCTTGATCTAAATATTTTTTTAGGCCTTTTAAGTTCCGCTAAGAGAATTTCCAGAATCAGAGCGTGTTTCTAACCAATCAGACAGACCGAAAAGTGCGTCATGCCGACGGCGGCGGAGCTGGAGCTGGCCGCGACCCGCGTGAACCTTTGCCTCGGCGCGGAGCGACAACTGCTAGCTCGCAATGCGCAGAAGCGTCGTCTACCCGTGACCATTGTGACTGGTTTTTTGGGCGCGGGCAAGACGTCGCTGCTGCAGCACATTCTGCAGCACAAACTGAATCTCCGTGTGGCCTGCGCCGTGAGCGACCTGGCGGCTATTAACGTGGACGCGCTGCTGGTGGCCAATCAACTAGCCGATAATGGCAACAAACTGTTCCAACTCAAAGCAGACCCGAACAGTAGCTTGGATGCCTTTAAAGACGCTGTGTGGCAGGCTCTCAACGAGGATGACGACGCCGCGTCGCTGGGCCATGTCGACTACCTCGTGATGGAAACCAGCGGCACTACAGATCCGACACAGTTGGTCGCAGCTGTGCAAGAAAAGTTTGGCAAGATGACGCGCGCGCGACTGGACTCGGTAGTAGCAGTTGTGGACGGCGACGCTGTTGCGCAGGATGCTCTGAAAGGGGTGGAGCCCTGTGGCGTGGCTGTGCGGCAGCTACGATGTGCAGATGTCGTGCTACTTAACAAGGTGGACTTACTGAATGAAACCAAACTTAAGACTGCACGACAGGTTATCGAGAAGTATGCGCCCAGTGCTCGAGTGTTCGAGACGGATCACGGTCAAGTATACTTGCCGCATGTGCTAGATATCGCCCCGCCCGAAGATGTTTTTAACGATGGAGTGACCCATGAAAAGGTACAACCGCAATGGAATACGGGGCTGAGTGCGTTGAACGGTGCAGTGACGCCGGCGCCAAGTCGTCTAAGAGTGGAGAGAGGATCCGACAGGACGTTGGATGTTGATGCTCCACCTTCTCAAGCGTTCGCTTCAGTGGCATTCGAGCGAACGGAACCTACTCCTCTTGCTGCTGTGCACGACTGGATTGAACATCACTTGCCACAAGGAACGCTTCGTGCAAAAGGAGTCATGTACATTGCTGAGTTGCCAAAGCACCGCTTTGTGGTGCAACTGAGTGGCAAGCGGCGACTGGAAGTCGAAAACGCTGGCGTCTGGCAATCAACTCCAAAGACGCAATTCGTTTTGATCGGCTTCAGTAATCGCAGCAGCAATGCGGAACGTTTGAATGAAGTTCAAGCGCTCCAGAGCCTAGAGAAGTGTTTGTCAAGACCTTTGGACCAGTTGGAAGGACAGATCGTGGCCACTCGCGCTGCCTGCCTGGCTAAGCTCAAAGCTGACGAACGCTTTGACATGCTGGCTGTTTCTGATCAAGCCACGACGATCGCATTCCGCCTGACGTGCCCTGCGTCGACGCTGGACGAGACGATGCTTCGTCACCATCATCATGTGGACATGAACGAGTTGACAAAGAGATTGGTGCGCGAGGTGAATGCCTCTGGTGGTGGCTCCTTATTGCTCTATGCGTCTAGTTTGGACTTCGACGACAGAGAGGGAGACCAGGTGTACGCTGTGGCCTCCATTATTGGCCCTGCGTCGGTGGTAACTATGTGGAGTGAGCTAGACTCCCGCGCTGCGACCATTATCACTGAAGTCAAGAGGAAACTTGCCAACTGTCTGTGTGGCTTTTAGATTTCCAATCTCGAAGAGTTGCACAAATGAATGAGGCAACTTCAACATCACAGATAATTTCAATTTCCTGCTCTTGTTGCCTTTGGCCGTCGAGTTTGCAAGTCCTCTGTAAGCTTTGACGTTGGTACTAACTCACGCAGATGACATAGACGGCGTGGATGATTCCGGGCACGTAGCTGATCCAACACAGGTAAACAGTTAGCCTTTTTTACGCCATCACTTCTCGATTGCAATGGCATCACGCACCCGAACAACGTAAGAAGCCCGTTGATTGCCAAGTCCTTGCTGCAGCCAGTTTGCAAAAACACACCGAGCGGTGGCAGCAACACGGCGCAGATCATACGCGCAGTCTTGTCCCAGTCCAAGTCCGAAGCACTGGAAGATGAGCGGCGTTCATCACCTTCGAACCAAGTGTCGGCGTCGTCCACAGCGTGTCCCATCGTTACAGCAGCTTCTCGGCTCTCGGCAAAAAATTTCAACACTGGAAAAAATCTTTGCCTCTGCAATTTTGTTGAACAGTTGAAATCATTTAATGAGCGTATTTGGTAAGCAGCGAAACTGAAAAAAAAAAAACGATATCGATCTTTATATTAACTTTGGCCCACTGCAACTGTCAGACCTCTTCAAATAACAAAATGAAACACCGTGTCACCGTTGTCTAGCCCTCCTCTTCAATGTACGTGTGCGACCTGCATTTGCGACTCCACGATCAGCCACCACAGCTGAAGCACAATTTCCATTGTACGAGAGCATTTCACTCCTCTTCAATGTGCAAAAAGTGCCCCAGCCGTTGCAACAAAACGGTGAAAGAAGCCGTTGAGAATCACCACACGCCATTGTACAAGAGACTTAAAACGCGAGCTGTTCCACGATGAATCTATCTGCCATCCACGCCGACGATGTCGTATCTCGATATTTTAGCACCGACCGAAGAGGTTTCGCCACTTGCCCCAGACTCATAGAGAACACAGCGCCACATCTTTTACTTCGATGTGGCGCCGCTCTATTCCTTGATCAAAATGTATACAGCGTGAATGACTCCGGGGATGTAGCTGTTGACAACAAGAAATAATTAGTTTCCGTATTTTAAGTGACACAGGCAGCTAGGGACATACCCGAGAACCGTAAGCAGGCAGTTGATCGCGAGGTCCTTTGTGCATCCAACCTGGAAGAACACGCCGACGGGCGGGATGATGACTGAGCAGATCAGACGAGGGATATCTCCGCAGGTAATCGGCATCGTTAACTAGTTTGCTTGACTGGGACTTCTTCACAGGGAGCAAAATCGAAAGTGATCTGCGGGAAGTCGCCTCCGGCCCCCTGCAGTGCACATGTGGGTGTGGATCGGGCTATCTTTTCGCTCCAACTTGTTTTCAGTATGCCGCGACATCTTCAAGGGAGGGTGGGATGGGTGGCCAGCTGCAAATTTGATTCGCATTCTGATTGGCAAAAATCGGGTCAGAAATGGCTTCGAAATTAAACTGACCAATCGACAGGCGTATTGAAAGGCGCCAATTTTTGGATATCCTAGATTCTCGATCGGATGTCACATTCGTCTGTCACGTCACCCTCATGATATTGGAGTTTTGGATATGTTTAAAATCACATTATACGTGCACCGGGCACCACTTCCGCGCTGCATACGGTCAAACAGCCTCTATTACCAGCTCGAACATCCGATTTGGGTGCGAAGCGTATACACGAACGATTTGGTTTTTCTAAAAGGCGTGTTTTTAAGAAAACACGCTTTCACTATTTTTGTGTGGGTACATTTCCATACGCTGCGATTGGTTAGAAAAAATCATCCTTTACAGGTGTTTACTAGGTATACACGGTTTACTTAGTGAACACCGTGTGAGGATAGTACTTGTTGCACTGTAGGTACTAAATGTATACTTAAGAGGTGTACCAATAGTACGTAGAATTATACTGTAGTAATAATAGTACCATTTTACTACTTGTAGATCGCTTGAGATCAACAGTCCGCTACGGAGTCCAAATGCAGTCCGTAACGGACTGCATTTTGCCATGGTCAAGGCTGATTAGGTCATATTTGTAGGCAATTACCCTGCCTTTTCCTCACCTGCCCTCCAATGTTTTTAGAACATGCTTGTCACTTATCTACAGCCCCTCCATTCTCACACTCATCCACGCTTAGACCGTTCCGTAAACGCCAGTCTTTTTGCCGGACAAAAGAGCTTCGTCGTCCTCCTCGTCGACCCACTTGTCACCGCCTTCACGCTCCATCTTGATAGCTAACAGTGCAGCTCCGCATGTGTTGGAGAAGATGAAGAGAGGACCCACAAGCGGAATCATTTGCAGCAACAGCATCTGGAAACCGAAGCTCGTGTACTGGAACTTACGCTGACCGATCCAGCGTTGCTGTTGCTTGAAGCCCAGACCCTTGAGATCAAAGTAGTACAGGTGCGACTCCCAAGCCATGAACGTGCTGTGCAGCCACGCGTAGACAATGCTACCAATGACGGGGATCAGGTGTAGCGGTAGCGACACGATGAGCAGGATCACGTGAAAAATGGCATCCAGGCGGAAAAACGCCGAGCACACACGCACGACGGCCGACTCCTGGGACTCACGGTCCACCAGCGCAGCGTATCCCTTCTCGCGCAGCACAAAGGCAAATATCTTGTCCTTAAAGCACTCAAGTACAATGAACGCGTATAGCAACGTGACGAGGAAGATCTCCACGATCACAAAGATCACAGCGAAGAGCCACGAGAACACCGAGGGCAATCCCTTGTCGGACAGCCAGCTCTCCTGCGGGCGAAGCGTCCAGGCAAAGAGGAGGAAGACCGAGAAGATGCTGAAGGCCAGCGTGAGCAGCAGCGGGAACGCCGCCTGCTTCCACAGATGCGGGTGGCCGATGAAAAACTTGACACCCTTGAGTGCGTAGAACGGCATTGCTGCAAAATTTGGATCTGCAGTAGTGCACTGGAAGTATCCAATTGAGGAATGGCTGATGCTTCGCCCAAATGAGTGGAGACTGAAGAGAGGGGATCAAATTGATAAACCAGTGGAGCTGTATACCATGTACAAATACAAGCCTGCACATGTACAGTACTGGTACATACATGAATTCGACATGTGTTGTTGATGACGCGCCCAAATAAATATTGTACCCACGGAGAGCAATCCTGAAGCCGAAACGTGCGTCAGAATCAGATCTTTTACACACGTCACAGCTTTATGAACGTTCCGCCCCACTTCCTTCACTACGCCCTACATGTATTAAATGGACCGCGTTGTACACGTACTCGCTGCTGACCTGCTTCCGAGCAATGTTTCGTCTTCGTCGGCCCACTTATCGCTGTTGTCGTTGCGTTCAAGCTCATCGGCCAGCAACGCCGCCCCGCACGCGTTCGTGAATATGCCGTGCAGCCAAGCGTAGACGATGTTGCCGAGGATCGGAACCAGGTACAATGGCAGCTAGATGACCCCGAGCATGCTCCGAAAGAGGAAGTACGACGTGCACACTTTCACGGCCGTTGAACACTGTTGGTGGCCTTCCAGCAACGATTGCAAGCCGCAGTCTTTCAGGACGAAGGTGAAGATCTTGTCCTGGAAATAGTCGATGCACACCGCGCCGTAGACAGCAGTGGATACGAAGATTTCTGTCAGGACGGTGGACAGCGCCAGCATCTCAGCAAATTGTTTCGGCTACATCCTTGTCACCCAGCCAGTCTTTCTGACGAGACAGGGTGTGCGAGAACAAGAAGACCGCTGACACCACCCCGAACGCGATTATGAGGACGAGTGGCAATGCCACCTCCTTCCACAGAGCGAATTACATGCTGGAGGGACATCGAGTGGTGCTGTTCGACTTGGATGCAAGCATTGTGTTGATGATACTTCAGTTTATCTCAAGGTGATGCTGCTGCTACTGACGACGG